CAGGTGACAATACGATTCGCGCTGACGCCGTCTGGGAATTAGCCATTCCTAGACATTACCAAAGGGCGCAGACGCGAATCGTGAAGTGATCGGCCCCCTACCACCTTCAAGCTCGTAGTCCCCGGCTGTCCCCCCAATGTGCTCCAACACCCCCGTTACCTGTTCCCAGACTGACCCCAGCCCGACCCTGAGCCGGAGGGGCAGAAAACTACACAAGCACAATCTTTCGGAAGTCCGCACGGATTTCTTCTGGGCCAGCGCGAAATCCGCGCGGACGTTGCAACGCTGCAAGTGTTATGCTCAGGGTGTTTGTCCTGCATCGATGGATCGGATCAGGCTGGTCCGGTCCGCACCTGACCCTGGCATCCGAAGATATGTGTTCTCGATGCGCGGCCCCAGGGGGCCCGACCCTTTTCCCATGGTTTCCCGCCCCAAATCAATGCTTGGAGGTCCCAGGGCCCGAAAACGGGCCAGAAGCCGGAACCGAGGCAAACCGCCGGGATCGACACAAGAACCAAACCCCCTTTTTCGATGAGCAGGATCAGGCCGCTCGGGTCCGCCCCAGAGCGCGGGCCACCCTCCCGACCGAGAGGGCCCGATCGGCCTCCTGGGCCCCGATCGATCGGCGGGCCGGCCAGCTCCGTGTCCCAACCGAGGTGGGGTGAGGGGGGGGGGGGGGGGGGCTGCGTCGCGAAAAATAAAGTGGTCGGGGCGGAGGGACATGGTCTGCTGGTGGAGAGCGGGGACAGTGAGGACTGGGGATAGAGACGTCAGCCTTCAGTTGAGAGGGGGGTGGGGAGGGGGGCTGCGACGCGAAAAACAAAAAGGCACGCGTGCCATGGCTCTTGCACAAAACGGAGGGGGAAGGAGGAAGAGAGGAGGAGGAAGAGGAGGAGGAAGATGAGGAGGAGGAGGAGGAAGAAGAGGAGAAGGAGGAGGAGGAAAGGGGGGAGAGGGGACGAGAATTCGGAGAAGTTTCGGGGGGGCGGGACGGCGGGGGCGGTGCGACGCGGAAATAATGGTCGGGGCGGAGGGGGGGCGGGGTTGCACTGGGCGGGCGGGGAGGGGAGAACGGCCGTGGGGGCGGGGCGGTGTGGCGGCGCGACGCCGAAAGAAAGTGGTCGGGGCGGAGGGGGCCGGGATGCAGAGGGAACTGGGCGGCTGGGGAGGGGGGAACGGTTGGGGTGGCTGGACGGGGGACGGCTGTGCGACGCCGAAATTGAATGGTCGGGGCGGAGGGGGGCGGGGTGGGGAGGGCACTGGACGGGGGGCGGTGTCGAGCTGGTGGTGGTGGTGGTGGTGGTGGTGGTGGTGGTGGTGGTGGTGATGGTGGTGGTGGTGGTGGTGGTGGTGGTGGTGGTGGTGGTGTGTGGTGGTGTGTGGTGGTGGTGGTGGTGGTGGTGGTGGTGGTGGTGGTGGGTGGTGTGGTGGTGGTGGTGGTGGTGTGGTGGGTGGAGGGTGGTGTGCTGGTAGGTGGTGGTGGCGGTGGTGGTGGTGGTGGCGGGGGTGGTGGTGATGGTGGTGGTGGTGGTGGCGGGGGTGGTGTTGGTGGTTGTGGTGGCGGTGGTGGTGGTGGTGGTGGTGGTGGTGGTCGTGGTGGTGGTGGTGGTGGTGGTGGTGGTGGTGGTGGTGGTGGTGGTGGTGGTGGTAATGGTAGTGGTGGTGGTGGCGGTGGTGGTAGTGGTGGTGGTGGTGGTCGGTGCATAGAGTAGTCGGGGCGGAAGGTGGCGGCGTGGTCAGGGCACTGGACGGGGGGCGGTGTCACGCTGGTGGTGGTGGTTGGCGTAGTAAGTGGTCGGGGCGGAGGGGGTCTGGGGTCTGGGTGGAGAGAGCTGGACGGGGGGCGGTGTCACGCTGGTGGTGGTGGTGGGTGGTGTGGGTAGGTGGTTGGAGGGGCGGGGGGGCGGTGCGGTGGGGGTGGTGTGATGCCAAAATAAAATGGTCGGAGCTCTAGGCGCCCTGCGCAAGATAATAACATGGTCGGGGCGGAAGGGGCCCTGGGCGGAAGGTCGAGGTGGCAGTGGGCGGAGGTTCCACCGGACCGCTGGGGCTGGAAAGGGGCGGGAAGGAAGCGGGGAGGGGGACGGGGGCGGTGCGACGCGGAATAAACTGGTCGGGGCGGGGGGGGCACTGGGCGGAAGTTCCACTGGACCTCTGGGGAACGCGGGAGGGTTGGAAGGGGGCGGACAGGGGGGGCGCAGTGCGACGCGGAATAAAATGGCCGAGGCGGGAGGGGCACTGGGCGGAGGACGCTGGGAACGCTGGGAGAGGAGGGGGGGGGGGGGGTGGGCGCGGTGCGACGCGGAATGAAGTGATCGGGGCGGAGGGGGCACTGGCCGGAAGTTGCATTGGGCCGTTGGAGCACGCTGGGGGGAGTTGTGAGGGGGGCGGGCAGGGAGGGGGGGGGCGCGGTGCGACGCGGAATAAAATGTCAGGGCGAGGGGGCACTGGGCGGAGGTTCCACTGAGCCTCTGGGGAACGCTGGGGAGGGGGGACGGGTGCGGTGCGACGCGGGATAAAATGGCCGAGGCGGAGGGGGCACTGGGCGGAGGTTCCACTGGACCGCTGGGGAAGGGGGCGGGGAGAGGAGGGGCGGGTGCGGTGCGACGCGGGATCAAATGGTCGGGGGGGCGGGGGGCACTGGGCGGAAGTTCCACTGAACCTTTGGGGCACGTAGGGGAGGCGACGCGGAAGAAAGTTGTCGGGGCGGAGGGGGCACTGGGCGGAGGTTCCACTGGGCCACTGAGGAACGCTGGGGAGTGCTAGAAGGGGGGCGGGGCGGGCAGGGGGGGGGGGGGCGGGGGGGGGTGGGAGGCGGGCGGCGGGAGGGGGGGCGGGTGCGGTGCGACGCGGAATTAAATGGTCGGGGGGAGGGGGCACCGGGCGAAGGTTCCACTTGGCCACTGGGGAACGCTGGGGAGGCTTGGGAAGGGGGCGGACAGGGGGGGCGCAGTTCGACGCGGAATAAAATGGCCGAGGCGGAGGGGCACTGGGCGCAGGTTCCACTGGGTGTCTGGGGAACGCTGGGGAGAGGAGGGGTGCGGGAAGGGGGGGGGCGGGCGCGGTGCGACGCGGAATAAAATGATCGGGGCGGAAGGGGCACTGGGCGGAAGTTCTGTTGGGCCGTTGGAGCACGCTGGGGAGAGCTGTGAGGGGGGCGGGCAGGGGGGGGGGGCGCGCGGTGCGACGCGGAATTAAATTGTCGGGGGGAGGGGGCACTGGGCGAAGGTTCCACTGGGCCACTGGGGAACGCTGGGGAGGGGTAGGAGGGGGCGGGGCAGGAGGGGGTGCAGTGCGACGCGGAATGAAGTGGTCGGAGCTCTAGACACCCTGTGCAAGAGAATAAAGTGGTCGGAGCTCTCGACGCCCTGTGCAAGAGAAAACCAAATCTATTCCAGAGGGGGTGGGAACCGCCGAGCGATATGGTTAGCACCCATAACAATAAATCAATTCATCGGGGGGGGCAGCAGCGAATTCTCAGGAATCTTCTATAATCTTGCAGGGGGGCCGCAGGCATTATCAGGAATCCTTGAGGCAAAATTAGGGAATCTGCCAAGACCTACTCGTATGGTCTCCCGTGCGCTTTCCCGTATGGTCTCCCGTATGATCTCCCGTGTGCTCTTCCGTATGTATGGCATCCCGTCTCTACAACAAGGCCTTCTGCCGCCAAGATGTCATTCCTTCTGCGAATGACGCTAGCGGGTCCTGAGGGACTCGGGTCATTGACGGTGCAGCTTCCCCCCGGGACCGGCTTTGCGTCCTGCCTCGTTCTTGGACGGTCCCCAGGGCCCGTGGAGGGCACAGGGAGCCAGAAATCGAAGCCAGAAACGCCGGGGCCCAGTTCCTGCGGGACGGACCCCTTTCCGCCATGGTGGCCGTTCTAAGCTCTGCTCCAGCGTGATCATCTTCGTGCCGGGGGGCGCGATCTGCCGGTAGGACCACTCGCTGGAGGGCACCGGGGTGAGCTCGAACATCGGGTCTGGGATCTTGTCCGCGTCCGCGGGCTCTGGGGCATCCTGCACGTGACCTCCTCCTCCTCCTCCTCCTCCTCCTCCTCCTCCTCCTCCTCCTCCTCCTCCTCCTCCTCCTCCTCCTCCGCCTCCTCCTCCGCCTCCTCTTGCTCCTCCTCCGCCTCCTCCTGGTAAGCGGCCCAGGCCCGCGAACGGCCCAGGCTCCTGGGAGTCCTGCATCCTACTTCTTCCTCGTCGTCCTCTTTCCCCCCCTCGCCCTCAGTCTTCTCGCGCCCTGCCTGCTTTTGCTGCCCTCCTCCTGCCCATAGGGCAGGATCAGTCAGCATCGAATCGGGAATTCATCGCATCGGAACGTGCATCGGATAGAGCTGCACCGGCTCGGAGTCGGAATCCAATCGGATCGGCGGCGCCAGGATGCACGACAGCGCAACGCAAGCATCGGGCGCTTACCAAGCGGCCCCAAAGGTCCCGACCCCTGCTTGTCGCCCCCGATCCATGTTTGATGGCCCGGGGGCCCGAAAACAGGCCCTGGAGACCGGAATCCCCTCCCCCCAAAAAAACGCCCAGAGTGACAGAGTCACATCGTCAGAGATCTGGGAATACCGAAATCTAACGGGATCGGGCTGGCCGGAATCGATATCGAATCGGATCGATCGCATCGAAACGGACCCTGCATGGGGCGTGGGGCGTCCTGGATCTTCCAGAACTCGGGCAGCCACTCGTCCAGCGCGGTCTCGTACTTGTCGTCATCCTTGGGGGAACCGTAAGACGAAGCCAGGACGAGGATAACATCGGGTGCGGATAAATCGAGAATCTCTGAGATCTGGCGGCTCTGGAGGATGTCTCGGGCGCCGCGGCCTTCTCAGAGCGCTCCAGAAGCCTATGAGAGCGTTCCGGAACGCTCGGGAACAGATCCATCCTCGTCGTAGCCCCGTCCGAAACCAAAAAATACCAATGTACTACTGCTCCCAGACCGCTCCTGGGGTGCGTTCTGACCAGCAGTTCGAAGCGAATCCGGCTGTGGCGACGAGGGCCTCCTGGGAACCCCACAAAGGCGAGAACGAGGCCAGGTACCAATACAGGTACCTTTTCGTCTGGTTGTCGGGTCAGAACTCGGATCTCAGGCGACCGTTCAAGACGATCTCGGCATCCCCCAACTACTCTCGGCGAGGCGCAGCTGCTGGAGAGCACCCTGGGCCTGGGCAACCACCGAAAGCCGACGAAAACGCCCGAAAACCTCGAGCATCGAGCCGCGATCGGGGGTCGGACCGCGAAAGCGAGGCAAGGGCAGTGTGCGTTGTCCTTCCTCCACGTCCTGGTCGTCGCCCAGCCCGACGGGCTGCCGCCGCTCGGCGCCCAGCTCCTCGAACTTGGCGTCGATCTGCTTGGCCGCCTTATTGAAGTGGCGGTAGCCCCTGTCTCCCAGGCCGAACACGTGGTACTGCATGCCGGCCAGCGCGTCTGGCGCGTAGGCACCTACCACGAGGAGGAGGAGGAGGAGGAGGAGAAGAAGGAGGAGAGGAGGAGGAGGAGGTGGATGGGAAAAGATTCACAAGTCAAACTTAAGAAAAAGGGGGAGACCGCACCCCTGAGAGAGGGGTATGTGTTACCCTGGAGGACAGAGCTGCCATCACTCTGACCCGGGCCCGCGACGGGGTGCTGCTCCCAAATCGAAGAAGGAGGAGAGGAGGAGGAGGAGGAGGAGGAGGAGGAGGTGGATGGGAAAAGATTCACAAGTCAAACTTAAGAAAAAGGGGGAGACCGCACCCCTGAGAGAGGGGTATGTGTTACCCTGGAGGACAGAGCTGCCATCACTCTGACCCGGGCCCGCGACGGGGTGCTGCTCCCAAATCGAAGAAGGAGGAGAGGAGGAGGAGGAGGAGGAGGAGGAGGAGGTGGATGGGAAAAGATTCACAAGTCAAACTTAAGAAAAAGGGGGAGACGGCACCCCTGAGAGAGGGGTATGTGTTACCCTGGAGGACAGAGCTGCCATCACTCTGACCCGGGCCCGCGACGGGGTGCTGCTCCAAAATCGCTCCTCTGCCACCATCTCGATCATGGCCCTGACTCGCTGAGCGAGTGCGGCCAAGCGCTTCTCAGAGTCAGGGACCGAAGGCGCACTCGAGTAGGCAGTGGGGACAGTCGTCCGAGAAAGAGTCTTGCTGCGCGGCGCGATGCTTGGGGGGCCCTCCGAGGATGGGACTGCGGTAGCTCGCTCAAGGAATTGTCGGACACGGCTGCTAGGGCACAGGCCCCGACGGTGCTTATCCAAGACCTCGGTGCCTTTCATCGTGGGCAGCTTGCAGGGTCCATAGAGGTTCCGAGAGCATCTCTGCGCCCAACACACGCACCGGACACATCCTTCCCTTTGTATGTTTTGGCCTTGCCGACGAAGTCTGGTTTTGCCTCAACCTTGATTTCCTCGGTCGCGAAGCTCTGGTGGTGTCGGGGCTGGCACCTTGAGAGATGATCCGCAGCGTTTGCAGTTAAAGGATCCGACCACAATCTCCATGCAGCCGCACGCGGGGCAACTGACGAGCTTCTTAACTTCGCTGGAAGTATACTGGAAGTGAACCGCCCATCTCCATCCCGCACTGTGTCGTCCTGGCCCCCCTGGGTACGAGCACCCCCAGGGCCTGGAGCGAGGAACCCCGGTAGGATTAGAACGCCACCGCGCAGAAGCAGCCCTCGCACCTCCATGGACCATAAGACGCTCCCGCAAGAGCTCGTTAGGGGGCCACGTGCGAAGGGGTAGGGTTCGCACGTGGCCCCCTACTCGTGGGACATGGACGCTCACTGCCGAGGCGGACCCGCAGCGAGCTCGGGACAGGGCGCACTGACCGAATGTGAAGGAGGCAGGGCTGCGCATCGGAAAATTCACCGGCCACACGGGCCAAGGGCGTGCTACGCTCCACCAGCCTTCTGTCAGGCGTGTCCCCCAAAAGGGGATCTTCGACGGAAAATGAAAAATACCCCAAAAATACCCCCCAGAAGGTAAAAAAATACACCCAAAATAGTCCCCAGACTATTTTTGGACTGTTTTGGGGGTATTTTTCTTTTTCGTCGATAATCCCTCTAGGGGGACAGGCCCGACTTAACACCAGCCTGCAGGCCGCAGCCCCTGACCCAGGCCGGAGGAAGGCAGGCCTCTGATGGACGCGCCCGGCCGCCTTCGCGGGCGGGCCGCGGATCGGCGGCGTGCGCTTGGCTCGCTGAGAACCTCAGAGCCTTGGGCCAGAATGGCTACGAGGAGGGAGGGAGGGAGGAGGAGGAGGAGGAGGAGGAGGAGGAGGAGGAGGCGGAAGAGGAGAGGCAGGAGGAGGAGGGGGGGGAGAAGGAGAAGGAGCGGGAGGACGAGGCGGGGAGGGAGAGGACCCTCGCAGAAGGTGTCCCAGAACTTGGTGGCTGTCCCTGGCATGTCGCCCTCGCCAGCGGTGGAGCAGAGGACCAGCACATTCTTGTGGTCAGAGAGGTCCTCGGCGCTGCCGATCTCGTCCAGGTCCATGATCGTCACGTTGTAGTTGCGCGCCTGGGGTAGGGCTCACAAAAGTACAGATAGGCTGGGAACATGATCGCCCCACGAACCCGGAAAGGGATATAGACATGCGAAGCATGGCGACGTGTTCAAGACACCTTATTGGGCGACGGGCAATTGCAATGCTGAATGTATCGATCTTGGTGCACCGTGCTAAAAGGCTGTGATGGGCTGTGCCGTGCCGAACTGCGTTGGGCCATGCCGCGAGTGTGCTCTATAGCTGAGTCCTCCTTGGCATTCGAGTCCTGACCGAACTGATCTGGATCTGAAGCTCGAGCTGCCTGAGCAAAGAGGAGCCGCCCCAGAGCTAGCTGAAGGGGAAACGTGGAGGACGTTCAAACAACTCGACCTCACAGTCCGACTCAGCTCCGACAAGGAACGACACAACACGAGGCCCAGGCTCACGGACGCGCCACGGGATGTGCCAGGGGCACAACAGGGGATGCGCCAGGGGACGTGTCGGGGGACGCATCAGGGGACGTGCCCTGGACGTGTCAGGGACCTGCCACGGGACGTGCCAAAGCGCGCGCCATGGGGCGGCCAGAGGACGTCACGCAAAGGGACGTTGCAAGGGGAAACGCCTGGGGACGAGCAAGGAAACGCGACAGAGGACGAGCCAGGGAACGTGCCAGGCCGCGTGGCGTGCTAGGGGGACGTGCCAGGGTACGTCACGCCAGAACGTCGCCCGGGAAGCGCCAGGGGGCGCGCCAGGGCGCCAGGGGACGCCCGACGGACAGGCGGGGTTGGACTGCGACGCACTCTACTGCGACAAGCGTTTCGCTCGAGACATCCTCGACTAATCCTTATGTTAGACATCCGCCTGGGCGATCTGGACACGTGAAGCCAAGCGTCTCGCTCGAGACCTTCTCAACACCTCCTCATGCTAGGCATCTGCCTGAGCGACCTAGACATGTGAAAGCAAACGTCTTGCTCGAGACGTCCTGCCCAAATCCTCATGCTACACATCCGCCTGAGCAACCTGGACACGTGAAAACAATCGTTTCGCTCAACACATCCTCAACACATCTTCATGCTAGACATCCGCCTGGGCGACCTGGACACGTGAAAACAAGCGTCTCTCCCGAGACGTCCTCAACACATCCTCATATTAGACATCCGCCTGGGCGACCTGCACACGCGAAACCAAGCGTTTCGCTAAACAAACACATCCTCAACACATCTTCATTCTAGACATCCGCCTGCGCAACCTGGACACGTGAAAGCAAGCGTTTCGCTCAACACATCCTCATGCTAGACATCCGCCTGGGCGACCTGGACACATGACAGCAAGCGTCTCGCTCGAGATATCCTCAACACATCTTCATGCTAGACATCCGCCTGGGCGACCTGGGCACGTGAAACCAAGCGTTTCGCTCGAGACCTTCTCAACACAGCCTTATGCTAGACATCCGCCCGGGCAACCTGGGCACGTGAAAACAAGCGTCTCTTCCGAGAAATCCTCAATGAAAGTGGAAGTGGCCAGGGCTGCAAAACTGACGGGGCTGAAACGAGCCCGAAACAGTTGGGATCAGATCGCAAGGGCTGGAAAAGCTGAAGGGAAACTGGACAGGACTAGAAAGAGTGGAAAGACTGGCCCCAGCCACTGTTTCCAGCTCCAAGGAATACACACCACGCTTAGCTGCCCCGATACACAATGCGCGACCCGTAGCGTGTTGGCACGGAGCTCAATACGCATATTGAAGACGCTGGTCTGGCACGGTGCTTTCACCAACACGTGGGCCAGCACGTGTTGAGCCAACACGCAGCGCGTTTCACCCGGACGCTTGAAACACGGTATGTGCTGCGTTTCGATACTGGCGTATCGGGGCGGCCTGGACGGCCAATAGGCTTGGGGTACAGACGCCCCAGCTTCCAGAGCTGAGGTTAGGTCGGGCATGTCCCACTACAGGCGGGTTCTGGGCGAAGAATTGGAAATACGAAAAAACACAATATTCAAACATACGAATGATGAAATCTTGTGTGTTACCTGCTGTTTCCCTTCCGCCCCTCCCCGATGGAAGATGATGTACTATTTTTTCATGAGGTCATCTTGCAATATTCTCTAGCAAATCTTCATTCAATGCAGGCTTGACGGGATCTCGACCTCTGGAGACCCGCCGACTCCCCTCCGACTCCCTGGTGGGTCACTTCCAATCCCACCAGCCCTTTGGGCGTGAGTGGTTTAGCGAGCTCTCTCTGTCCTCAACCCCCCTTCTTCCCCTTCGGGGAGGGGTTTACCCCTCCCTCTACCCCCTCCCCCTGGGCCTGGAGAGGGGGTCCCGCGGGTCGTCAGGGGGGTCAATTTCGACTCCTGGGAGGGCTAAAAAACGACGACCCTCACGAGGATTCTGGCCCCGACGGGGGGGCGGAGATAAGTCCCTCTCCTCTTCTGTGAAGCCAGAAAACATTGATTTTACTATGGTGTTGGCCCCATGTTGGACTTCTGAGGGGGCAGCGCTCATTGTCCTTCATAGCAAAATCATTGATTTTACGAAGGTTTTGGCCTCATTTTGTCCTTCTCAGGGGGCAGCTCTTCTTTGCGCTTCTGAGGAGGTCGCAAGAGGCCCCAAGATGTCCCCAAGAGGCCCCCAAGGGGCTCCCAAGAGGCTTCCAAGAGACCCCCCAGAGGCCCCCAAGCGGCCCCAAGAGGCCCCCAAGAGGCCCCCAAGAGGCCCCCAAGAGGCCCCCAAGAGGCCCCAAGAGGCCCCCAAGAGGCCCCCAAGAGGCCCCCAAGAGGCCCCCAAGAGGCCCCCAAGAGGCCCCAAGAGGCTCCAAGAGGCCCCCAAGAGGCCCACGAGGAGCCCGAACGACTCACACCAGGACGAGGGGCCCGAACGACTCACACCACGAAGAGCCCGAACGACTCACACCACAAGGAGGGGCCCGAACGACTCACACCAGGACGAGGCGCCCGAACGACTCACACCACGAGGAGCCCGAACGACTCACACCACGACGCGGGCCCCGAACGACTCACACTACTACTACTTCTACCTCTACTATTACTACGTCTACGCATGGTGGTACGGCCACTACTACTACCAGACTACTACTACTACGACTACGACTACGACTACGCTACTACTACTACTACTACTACTACTACTACTACTACTACTACTACTACTACTACTACTACTACTACTACTACTACTACTACTACTACTACTACTACTACTACTACTACTACTACTACTACTACTACTACTACTACTACTACTACTACTACTACTACTACTACTACTACTACTACTACTACTACTACTACTACTACTACTACTACTACTACTACTACTACTACTACTACTACTATACTACTACTACTACTACTACTACTACTACTACTACTACTACTACTACTACTACTACTACTACTACTACTACTACTACTACTACTACTACTACTACTACTACTACTACTACTACTACTACTACTACTACTACTACTTCCTCTTCCGTGAAGCAAGAATCATCGATTGTACTACGGTTTTCGCCCCCTTTGGCCCTTCTCAGGGGGCTGCGCTCATGAAAGATCCTCTCTTTCTTCAACGCCAAATCATTGATTCTCCGAAGGTTTGGGGCTCCTTTTGCCCTTCTGGGGGGGCAGCGCTCATTGAAACTCCCCTCTTCTTTGATCCCTTCCCTCCAAGATGGCCCCAAGAAGCGCCCAGAAAGCACGAAGAGGCCCCAAGATGGCCCCAAGAGGTCCCCAGGAGGGCCCCAAGATGCCCCCAAGATGTCTCCAAGCGGCCCCAAGAGGCGCCGAAGACGCCCTCAGAGGCCTCCGACCAAAAGACATCCACTACTACTTCTACTCCTACGACTACTACTATTACGACTACGACTCCACTACTGCTACTACTACTACTACTACTACTACTACTACTACTACTACTACTACTACTACTACTACTACTACTACTACTACTACTACTACTACTACTACTACTACTACTACTACTACTACTACTACTACTACTACTACTACTTACTACTACTACTACTACTACTACTACTACTACTACTACTACTACTACTACTACTACTACTACTACTACTACTACTACTACTACTACTACTACTACTACTACTACTACTACTACTACTACTACTACTACTACTACTACTACTACTACTACTACTACTACTACTACTACTACTACTACTACTACTACTACTACTACTACTACTACTACTACTACTACTACTACTACTACTACTACTACTACTACTACTACTACTACTACGACTACTACGACTCCACCTGCGAAGACCCCGATCACCTCGCACGCGGACGAGGTGCCCGAACGCCTCACCTCACAAGGAGGATAGACAAGGAGGCGGGAGGAAGGAGGAGCAGGGGAGATATGCGGAGCCCAGCGGACACACGCCTGAAAAACACGACTGTCGGCATGCTTCGCGAGAGTTGCTGCTGTGAGATGGGCTGGTGGGGATACGCGAAGCGTAAAGAATTTTCTCTCTCGTCGTCCCCCCACCCGCCCAGCTTTGTTTTGCCGGGCGGGCGGGCGGGGCAAATACTGCTGGAGCTGGGCGGCGCAGTGCTCCCCTGCCCCCCCAGCTCTCGATCCGAATGTTTACGGACGCAACTGATTGCTGACCTCTGTGACCCAACTTGCTAACCAAAACTGGATGGCACAGGTATCCACACTGCGCAACGGACACCAGGGCAGACGCCTTCTCAAGGCGCGGGTCGGACACTGTCTGCGGCCCGAATATCCCAAACATTGCACCAACTGAATGGCTGACCTGCCGCACACGGTGGATACAAGTATCTCCAGAGGTGCACCCGAGTCCAGGACAAGCGCCTTCCCGAGGCGTTCATCGAAACTGTTCGTGGTCCAATTCTCAAAACAGCGCAGCACCCTCGCTCGACGGACGGAAAGGGAATGCGTGCACTTGCGCACGCATGTTCGCAGGATAACATCAAACAAAATATGCTTCGCATATGAAGTGCGTCCCCAGACCATGTTTTG